CCGCCCGCCGCCGGTGCAGTGCACGCGCAGATTTTCCCACTCCTCGGAGCAGCTGGAGCCAAGGAGCGCTCCCCCGAAGCGCAGCGCCGCGGGAGCTCGTCCCCGAGCCCTCCAGCAGGCTGCGGGCTCTCGCCGCCGCCCCGCCGCCGGACGAGGCTGTGTGCGGGCTGAAGGCTGCTGCCTGAAGACATATAACTCGAGGGCAAAGTAATCATTAATCAGACCTGGAGACATCCGTGTAATTCGTCTCACGGTTCAACTGATCGAGCAATAAGTAGGAGGAAGTTTTTTTTTTTTTTTTCAATCTCAATGAGAAAGTTGCAAATATTATTACAGCTGACAAAAGGCATCGGGTGTCCTAAAACTGGTTCCTGTGCATTGAAATAAGTCATATCTGGGTTTTAAGCAACTTTTTACACTGCAGTGTTCCTTTTTAAAGACTTTGCAAAGAGAGATGCTTCGCTGGCAAGGGCACATGCTTAAAAAACTTTGTTTGAAAGACCAATATATTTTCAAAATGTCTTAAATTATTTCATGGCGTTTCCACGTGACCTGTGCAGAGTGTAAAGCAAAACCTAATACTGAGCACCGGGCACAATGACCGGGCTCTTCCTGGGCCAGGGCCAAGGGTTCTGCATTTGATTTCCTTTGCTGCATCAGGTTGAATGTTCTGCTTCTCTCTGGAGTTGCTCTTATCTGCAGAGTAAAATATCCATGAATTCATGTATATATGTACATATACCTATATATACATATATATATATAAATATATATATATATATGACCTTACTGATATATATAGAGAGAGATGCAATATGTGATTTCAGTCACTCACTTTGCACAATATTTTAATAAAGACAACTTTTGAAAAGAACAAGAGCTCCTCCTCTGCGCTAGCATTGCTATTTTCTTGACGAGACTCGCCAGCAGGCGGGCGACTTCTGGGAGGGGGCGGCGGAGCTGGGGTGGGGCGGCGGCCAGGGCGGCCGAGAGCGGAGGGTGAGGATCAGCCAGCCCGGAGCTGCAGCGGGGAGCCAGGGGTTTGTCCTGCAGTCCAGAGCCGCTTCTGCCCATGCAGCCCCATTGCTTCCTTTGCTGTTTCCCAGGCTAAACTGCATTTTTAAACCTTCTGACCTTCAATCACTATGAACTGAGACATTCTGATAGGTTCCTTAGGGTCTAAATGGTTTGACTTTGGCTGCTGTTATAAGGCCTCCTCTGATCTTTCTGTGTACAGGGTGGTGACGGTCCCATCCTTCCACTGAACCAGCACCTCTCCCGACCTCTCCTCCTTCTGCAGCAGCTCCTGCTTCTGCGGGTCGGTGTGGCTGTGCTCCTGCATGGGCATCAGGGCTTGCTTGGCTTCCAGCTCAGCTTGCTCCACGTCTTGCACCACTTTTGCATACATCTTCCTTTTCCTGCAAGGGAGGCATAAAAAGGAGATGAGGAGTGAATCAGCAGGCCCAGCCTGCGCTGGGGGACAGGTGGCTACTGGAGGTGGCGTTGGATCCTGTTTCTTCACACGTTTGGCCCTGGGAGAATATCAGCTGCTTACAGGCAAAACCCACCAGCTGCGACATGCCACAGAAGTGGCCTGAAGCGCTTGAGTACACACAGCTGCAGGGCTTCTGCTGGGAGAACACACAGCGCACCACGTTGCCAAAATCAAAGCAGTAACAGCCAGCAAGCCACCATTAAAACGAGGGAAAAAGGACCCTGACGTTCTCCAGCCTTACCTGTTACGCACAACATTAATGGCCAGGAGGAAAAGACCCAGAAGGAGGACCACGAAGGAAAGGGCAAGGATAGTGTAGTTCCACGTCGACGCTGCAGGAAAGCGTTGACACGCGGTGTTAGCACGTGCAGAGCAGTGCGGCCAGCAGAGCCCGGCCAGGCATTTTCTGGGGACCCTGGCGCTCACTCTGCTATGGCTTGGCTGCAGGATGAGGGCAGAGGTGCTGCTGTCCAGCTGAGCATCCAGAACAGAGCCCCCAGGTCATGTTTTTGGGGATAACCTCAGGTAACTCTTCCCTCACTGGGTGGGAGACTCACATAGTTGATTTTTGCCTCTCCCAGTCCCCCCCGCCTTGGGCTCTGTATCTCTCCCAGTGACCACATCTGCCTTTTCAACCCTGCCCATAGTCTGAGGGTGGTGCTGGAGGGTGGGCGCGGGGCTGAGAGCTGCAGCATCCCTCCACGGATGCTGCTGGAAGGGCCTTTCCTTCCTGCAGGCTTTCTCCCCGCTTCTGCGCTCAGGCAGGTGGTGTGCAGCATGGATGGCAGTGGCTGCTCTGTCCTTGATTTCTGTGACTTTGAAGTTTACCCTGGGGACCCTGACCAGCTCATATTGATCTCCTCCCTCCACCTTGCCAAAATCACTGGTGATCCCAGACCTTTGCTTTCTTGGCAGGATATCACTGGAAAGAGGATGAACTCCTCTCCGGGAAAAGACCCTGTCTCTGTAGAGCCTCCCTCCCGTCTTTGCTCATGGTCTGCTTTTTCTGGAGATGAAAGCGAGAGTTCATATAACCAGTTCTGCCTCCTGGGGCAACTCCCTAGGGCACCTACCTTAGGCAAGGGGGTTCACAACCCAGGACTGTATATCTCTATTTCAGCTCAGCCTGGGAACATCAATGGGACTTACGGTCTTCTCTGCGGAAGAACCACAGGAGCTCCTCCAGCTGCCCTGGAGCCATACCCAGCGCAAGGGTAGCGTTGCCTGCTGTCGGCTCATACACGCGTGTGCTGGCAAGGGCTGCGGGGAAGTACCTGTCGTGCTCTGCCTTGGCTGCAGAGGAAAAGACAGGAAAGATGCAGTGGATTTTCACTGCAGTTCTTCAAGATAAGAACGGCTTTCTCCGTGGTTCCCAGGGCTCCCCATTGCATCTCTCCCAGCAGGCAGAGCAAAGCTCTCCAGGCAGAGCCTTGTCTCATGTATTGAGAAGTGGAGAGTGTTTCTGAATCTGCTTATGGTGGGGCACCGAGGCTCGGAAAGACCCCAGGACACTGCCTGTGCCTTTCCTTGTTCCCCGGCAGTGTGTGTGTGCACCACAGTGTGCGGCGCTTACCTGTTTTCTCCTCACACACGCTCCTCTCTGCAGCCCCTTGCCACTGGGCCTTGGGGCCTCTCACATTGGCGAGGCTGACTCCTCTCCTGCTTGCCACCAGGTAGCTCTGGCTGCTGCCCAGAGGAGAGAGCAGCGAATTCGAGCAGTCCCAGCTCATGCGGTCTGTGCTGCCGCAGGCACCGGTCCGCACTCCGCTGGCCTCCACCACGGAGAGGCATGTCAGCGTGCCGAGATTCATCAAAGAATCGCCTTGCCAAGACCAATCTTGGAAATCTGAGGCTGGATTACAGCCCTCCAGCAGTAAGCTCCCATCCGTTGGGCTGGCTTGTAAACACAGCTTGACTTTAGCATTTTTCATCAGAAAAGTTTCAGTGTCTGTGAAGAAACCAGAATATGAGTGTGGCCACCCCCTAAACATAGGGCATCTCTGTACCCGCAACGCCACACCACCTGGCCCGTGCCTAGCTCCTTCCTGCCCTTCCTAGGCACAGGGAGGCTGCTCTCTGGGGTTGGTCCAAGAAGCAGAGGAGGTTCAGACCCTTTGGTGATCCTCCGCCCTTCCTTGTAGGCTGCTTCTTGGCCTCTGGGGACAGATGGTATCCTTGTAAGTCAAAATACCCTGATGCCCTGCTCAGGCTGGATGAACTACAAACTGCCTCTAATGTCTCTCTTTCAGAGGAATCGGAGAGGGAAGGGTTTGGGGTTCAGGACTTTCCAGCTTTGCTGTCTAACCTCACCACAATGGATGGGTGCAGAGAGTCCCTGTGTAATGCTGTATTAGACAATGATCCTTGGTTTAAAAAAATCAAACCTCCGTGACACTCAGGTGTCTTCCTTGATGCCAAAGAGGTCACAACAGGGTTGTGAGCAGGGCCTTGGGGTGTAACCTCCCCAGGGTTGAGCCAGGCTGCTGCTGGTGCATACCGAGAATGGGCCCATGTCTTAGGGAGGACAAACTCAAATTTCAAGCAAGTTAGAGGTCCAGATATGCATGCCATTGCAATAATATTTCTCTAATTGTATGTGTGTGTGCTCAAACAGCTGTTTGCCCTCAGCCACTGAGGCGTTCACAGGGTCACGTAACGATGCTGGAAACTCATGTACAGCTAGCCCCTATGAGCATGCCCCACAGCCAACATCTTCTTGTAACCACTGCTGAGCCTGGAGTGGGTACAAGTTTGTGAGCAGGCACGGTCTCAGCACTTGTGACCTGCTTCACTCACACTGTAATCCTCTAAAACCAGATCCTACCTTGCAGCAGGAAAAATGGGATTATCCAGAATAACTTCATATTTGTATGTGCCGCTGGGATGGATCACGCCTTCACCAGTGTTCCTTCAGTGTGCAGAAGCCTGGAAAGAAGAAAGAGCCAGGAGGTGAGGGGTAGCCTCCTGGTGCCCTGTGCTGCTGCCCAGTGCAGAGCCCTGGAAGTTATACGAGGCTCAGAGGAACTGGAAATAACAGCCCAGTATATCTGTTTTCTCATGTTTGTAGCAGGCAAAAGGAGACAAAAGCACAAGAAGAAGCGATAATCACCTTTTAAATGACTCAGATAGTTGGTGCCTCTATTCAGAGAGGGGACCCAATGCACCTGTGAGGTTACAGCTCCTGTTCTTCTCCGTCAATGTGCGGCTGCCCCCGGGATGGGGTGCAGGCACGGCTGAATCTGGGAGCCACCGAGGCCACAGCTTAGTGGGTTCGGCGCAGGGGCTGCTGCCTGGAAGCCCTGCACAGATGCAAAGCCTGCACATGCAAGAGCTGCTCTCTGAGCTACTGCCAGGCTCCGTGGAAAGTCCTCCCTGGGGCAGTGCTTGTTCTCTTGCCTAGAGCCAGCCCCTTCCCAGCTAACCTCTTTGCTTCCCTCATTGTTCCCCTGCACTGTCCCCAGACAACAGAAATTTGGGGGACGGTGACTATTTGCGGCCAGGCCACGGGTGGCAGAACAAGGGTGTGGAGATGAGGGTATGGAGGGCTCAGCTCCGGGAGGAGGACTAGCTGAGTCTCCACAGAGGCAAAGGTATCTCCCACCCCTTAAGAAAGCAGATCGCTCCTCCCTGACCTTTAGTCCCTCATTTGTCAGTGGCATCAGTCCAGCTTTTATAGCTGCTTGGCCCATCTCAATTCTCCAGCATTTCCAGAGTGACCTGGTCTGAGTAGAGGACGCTCCAGTGTCCTTGGCCCCATCCCCCCAGCCTGTGTGGCCCTCCTGGTCCGGTGGTAGGCAAAGCCAAGTGAGCTTGGGTGGTTACATCCACCCTGCCCATAAAGGCATAGCTTGAGCATGAGTCTATCCCTCTTTGGCACCCATCCTTCTCCACGTGGCCACGCAGTCGGCCTGTCCCCAAGCTGAGCTACTTGTGGCACAACGGGCTCAAATGAGGGCTCACACTGTGGGCTAAGAAATAACATGGATGCCACCAGGGATGACTAATGGCCGCCAAGGGAAGGAATGGGGTTAACAGCAAGGATAATGGTCTGCTGTGAGCGAGCTTGAGACCACAAGGCGCTCTCTACCTAGGCCACCGATCAGCCACGAGGTAGCAGCGATGCTGTCACTGCGCGCGGGCCTCCTCTGGGCTATTACTCACCAGCAGGTGAACAACACCACAGCACACGTGCGTCCCTCAGACATGCTGGCCCCCCTGGCGATTACTTATTATATGCTGACTTAGACTTCTGCGACTGTTTGAAACTCTTATTTGCCTTCGTCCATAGTGTGTCCTGGCACCGTTTGAAACGTTTCCCAGGAAATCGCACAGGAGCATGTCCCACTGCACCAGGCATGTCAGCAGTGCTCCCGCTGACTCCTCAGTGAAGCATTTGTCCTATCGGTTATAGACCTAATGATTGCCACTATTTCCCCCCCCTTCCCACACATCATTGATCTCAATGTCTTCACAATTCAAAGGTCACATTTTATAACCAGCTGGGCATGCAGGCTGGTTGCCTGCTGCCAGAAAGCTGCCTGCTAGCAACGCTCATGAGGACTCTGGAATATCCCACGTGTTGCACCTTGGCTCTGTATTTCAGAGAATAGGGGTAAAGCTGCTCCCTGCAGTCAGACATACCAATTACTGTACAGTCCAGGTAAGCCTTAGCTATGCACATGAATCACTCCCCAGAAAGGAGGAAATAAAGTGCCGGTGCCAAGGAAATCAACTTACAAGTCTGCTGCACCCTAATAAGAAGTGCCACATGAGCGTGTTAAATCTTGCTGGGCAAGACTTCGGTCACATCATTTGCTCCAACAGGAACATTTGACATGTATGTTGCTCATTTTCTCCTAAGGTGTTTCATAACCTGTGGGCCACATTCTGACATTCGCACTTAAGCCAAGCTGCCATGCACAGCGGGGATGCTAGAAGGTGGCTTAAAGTATTTCACTATTTCATAAAGTTTTTAGTATCCGCAGCTCTCCCCCACAGATTGGATGCCAGAACCGCTAAGTTACAGTACGGTAGCTGAAGGGATGTTTTATCTTGCATTAACAGGAAATTTAGGTAAAGGCCATTAGGGGAAACCCCTGCTATTGTAAGGATATTTTATGTCCGCCTCAAACTGACCAAAGTAGTCTCAGTCATCAAAGCTATAAAATAAACTGCTGAGAGCCTGCGCACTCCCTCTAGCCTGCGTAGGCTCTGCATGCGGCTGATCTACGAGATCCAGCGCACTGCCTGTGCCGCCAGTTTCCCAGTAAGGGCTGGTAACAGCAAGCCCTGCAGCTGTGCTGGATACGCTCTAGAGAGTTGGGTTCTTCCAGTCTGAAAGAGAGATTTGAAAGTCATCTCCTCCAGCTGCTCCAGCTTCCCTGTCTTACTTGGGCGAGCACTGCTCCGCCAAGCAAGGTTGGAGAGTATGGTGACGTCTTCTCTATTGCTTCCCCTGCCAGCACGTCTCCTCCGTCACCATGGCTGCCATTAGATGGGGAAGAGCCTTCAGAACGGGGCCTTGGACACCTCCGAGCTGTGGACGTTGGTGTCCCAACTTGGGCACAGCGTGGGGTACTGAAATGTCCATTTTAAGCTTCTATGGAAGGAGGTGGAAAGAACAAATGGGCCAGTGTCTCTCAAGGAAATGTTCTGCCCACATTATTTTGAATTTATTTTTACACCTGAACAATTTGGTAATTTTTTTTTTTTTTGGAAATGGGATTTTCACATCAAAAGCTGCAAAATTTGCATGCTGCGCACTTCAGGGACAATGAATCACTGGCTAATGCTGTCCCAGATCCTCCTGTTCAACACCACGATCTGTGGACTTTGGTGACCTCCTGTGAAATCTCAACAAAATACGGAAAAACAGTAAAGTGACCATTTTTGCTGGCCATTAATCCAGTGCTACAAGGATGAAATCACTCCTCATGACGGGAGTCCTTGGAAGAACAAGCCCACCGCATGCAGAAGGCAGCGCTGTGGAGTCAGCGCCCTGGATGGCGGTGTAACCCCGCGAGGGCCCGGGCTGTGAGGGACGTGCACGCTCCCGGTCTCGTGCGGGCTCTTCGTAGCCAGGGCATGCATCAGAGCTGTGCAACTACCATATACTTTTTATGCTGGTGTTTGTTAGGTTTAATATTCTAGGCTGTTTACCAAGCCAGATGTTGTCCTCACTCTGCAAATGAAAAGTCTGAGACACTTACTACATAAGTGTACATCTGGGACTACATAAGTAAAGATGCAAACAAGATGGTCTTCTGGAAAGACGATTAAAATACAGTCTCTGGTAAGATGATATTGTCCCTCTAGTCTCCCTACTCAATGCTCGTTACACAGCATGAGACAATGTGCTTATAGTGTCCAAGTCTTTCCAAAATAGTCTTCTCTTGCCATGCAGACTCTCTGTCTGCTGGCTTTCTTATCTTAGTTGATCTTGTTAAAATGTGTAAGTGCTTCCAAATATATTGTTGAAGTGGGATGCCCTGTCTTTGGCATTCATACAGGGTATACGCAACGTAAGGCCGTGGAGACAGAAGCGGATGGCTTTGTATCCAAACAAAGGTACTTTGTGGACTGAGTTCCATTAAAGAATACAAGAAAAAATGTTTAATATTTAAAATAATAAAACAAGAGGGCAGTCTGTACTGTTTTTTAACCTCTGTTAAGTCAAAAGTTAAAGAGCAAGTGATATTAAATGTTTTCCTTTGACTGTTTTCCAGACAGTCTATATGCAGGAGTAATCTCCTTCTCCTTCTCCACAAATTACTTGCCATTTAGTCTTTCCTTAAAGAAGTCACGCAGCCTTTCCTTAAAATCTCAAGGACCCTAGCTTGCTAACTGAAATAATTAAATCAGCTTTCCCTCAAAGATAGCTATAAATTAACTCACCGGTTAATGCACCAGAAGAGCCCGTTTATCTCAGTTAACTCACCAGAAACAAGCCGTTCCCAGAAGAACGGAAGCTACATTTCTTCTCTGTGCATCGCTGTCTGAAGACGTCTTGCCTGAGTACCCGTTGGTGCCTTAGGGCGGCTGTAGGGCGGCCTTTCCTCCTGCTCGCGGTGTGTTACCAGCCGTGATTCATTCTGCTTCTGAGTCATGGGTAAAGGCTAGTCCAGCAGGTAAGGTGCGCTCAAGCCCCAGGAAAAAAAAAAAACACACCTCCTTAGCGGGTCCATTTACAGCACGGGGTGAACGACCTTCTCCCAAAGAGTGAACTGCGGGAACTTCCCGTTTGTTTGCTCAAGCTATTGGCCTAATTAGTATTAGAAGGGCACGCTGAGCAAAATGACACTCTGTAGTGAGTTACTCTGGGGTTAAAATAAGCAATACTGATCGCTCTTCTTGGCTTAGTCTTTACCGTATAAGCGAAATATGTTCTGATAACGCAAATGTTACCAATTTTTTCAGAAAATGGTCATTGTAAGGCTCTCGGAGCATCTCACAAGAATGCCTGTTTTTGCAGCGAAAGGATGCAGCACCAATGAGGGATTTTGCCGTCCCTGTGTTACAGGTACTGGCAGCTGAGCTTGCTAAGTCAGAAGACTATTAATAACAGACTTTGCAGTGTGTCATAAAGCTGATATGTTGTTTTTTGTGCCAGTGACATTTGGAAAGCAGGATTCCTTTTCAACACAGCCTCACTGGATTACCCAATCCATGGATGGAGCTGTGTGCCGCAAAGCAAGGCAGATGCCTCCCAGCGCTGGGCTTTCAGCGCGCAGGCGGCGCTGCTTAGCTTATGCGTGGTGGAAGATGGGCACAGCCACCATATGGTTTTCCTGTTCTGCGTGTTTTCCAGCTTGAAATAAAGTGTCTTTGGCATTCAAGCTGTGTTCCAGAATGATTAATCCTTTGAATCCCACTCTACATCCGATTCAGAGTTTTCTCTGGCTGCTCCTATACAATTTCATCCAGCAGACATGCATAATCCCCAAACAGATAGTTTTACTGTTCAGCTTCAGCCTGGCAGTGAGAGGATCAGCGCTTGGGGAGACCAGAGCTCCCCTCCACTGAAGGAGACAGGGCAAGGCTGGAGGTTGCCCAGTGCTGTAATTTGTGCTGTCTTTCCTCCTCGTTTCAAGACGGATCATTTAAAAAGGTGCCATCACGCTAGATCATGCTTTTCGACAGTATCCTCGTGACCTCTTTCCACGGCCAGGGAACACGTGTATCGAAAGGCCTCCGAGTGGGCTCACAAGCTACAGAGCCAAGTTCTCTCACTCACTGCCTTTGAGAGAGGTGCCAAGAAAAGGCTTGGCCTGCAGTGCACGTGGAGGCAGAAGCTAACCCCGGCAAAGAGACGGCTGTAATAGCAGGAGGGCGAGCGCAACGTCCCGGACGATCCCTTTTCACCCCGAGTTCCTACATAGCTTGATTGATGTACCTACAGTTTAATAAAGGAAACATTTTCCCCAATGGCTGTTTAGATGCCCAGAGATGCTGGGTGCAGTGGTATAACCCACTTTTGCCTAAATGACAGCTCCTCTTGCCCCGGAGACCCTAATACCCTACTGCTGTGTTTCCAGCTCCAACGGCCTGCTGCCAGTGGTCAAGCAAGGGGTCACCCCCGCTCTGCTCTCCCTAGTCACCGGGCTGGAGTGGCATGGGTCAGGGGAAAGGATCCGTGCACGTCATGTGTATCAACAGAAAGTAAAATCTGGGCTTGCGAATAATATAATACAAGCAATGTGGGAGCACCGGCCGGGAAGCAGTAAAGCGGTCCCTATTTCACCCTCTCCCAAATGAGTGGCAGGAGGCAGGAAGACAGCTGAGATGCCTTTAGGACTTAGCGTGCTGGATATGGACATAAACCCAAAGATTCCCACCGGTTACAGTAGGCCCTTGTACCCAGAAGTCTTCTCCTTCTCCAGAGCGCAGTGAATGCTCTCAGAGGGAATTTTTCTAGCCCCTGCTGTGAGTGTTTTACTTCATGTTTCCCTTGACAACACTGGCACTCTCTAACTGGAGATATCTTTTTACTTTTTGGAGACGCTCTCAGTGTCTTTGGCTAGGAAGCAAAGTATAGATAGGACGTTGATTTGTGTGCTGTTTCCTCCTCAGATTTGTCTTCAGTACTCCTAGGAAGAACTGGTCTGACCTTGGCATTCTATTTTTGCTTATCTTTTTTGAACCCTTCTGTGTCTTTGACCCGAAATGCCTGGTTACACAATAACTAAACATTCATTTTGTGTGTGTGTGTGTGGTTTTTTTTGCCATGTACAAAAGCAGAGTTCAAATCCAGCAGAAAAGCAAGATCTGTGAGCTTTTTTTTTTCTGAAAAATGACCACACTATTGCTTCCACTTTGCTGTAAAAATTTGCATCCAGATAAATCTTTCATTAAAATTCCTGTACACTGTGTCCAAGGCATAATACTAAATAATAGATGTAATCCGTTTGAACTACACAGTCATATCAGCACTGATGATAAATTACTTGGGAATAAGTATATCGGAGTGAATTTAAATCTACTTCATAAACTAACTCACTGCAAATGAAACATTAATTATTCTGTGAGTTAGCCTGGCAAAAACTCAGCTTGGTATGTCAGTATTTCCAGAAGCCTAAACTACTGGCAGAGCTGAATCCACTTCCCTGGGGTTTGAGTTCATTGCCAAACAAAAGGTAAAGACCCTTAAGGCAGCACCAATGCGCCAGCGACACTTTTCAAGTCCTCTGCGCTGAGATCCAACAGCTAGAACTAACACCGAGCAGCACTTGACCACTGGCTTTGAATTCTCAGCTTTTGGGTGGTGTTGGCCATCCAAACATGTGCGGAATGTTCTTGGCTTTTCTGAAGGCCACGGCAGTGTTGGTGAGAAATTCAGAGTTTTACCCAATTCCTCAGAAAGCTGGTAAGCTTCTGCAGGACACTGAACACCTCTTTCACTTGCGCCTGTTCAAGAGCTTAATGCTACCGATGAGCACCAACGATGCCCTCCCTGCTAATTAGGTCTGCTTTAGGGCTGTCCTGGCAGGCGGCTGCACTGCTAATCATGGGTAACGCTCCTCAGCGGGCCTTTTTCTCCTTGATTTAGTCTGGCTACTTCTTGAGCCCAAGAATATTTTTTAGCCTCTGAGATACTATGTGTTCAAATTACACACTGTGTGGAACACTACTTCCTTTCTTTTGGCATCCGGTCCCTCTAAATGGTTGATAAAATTGTTTGTAATCCCTTAGTTGTTGTGTAACACTAATTATTCCCTGTTTACCAGCCCCTACCGTTCATGATAAGTGAGACTGCTAGCCTATCCATCCCCCCATCTCTCTGTTTTCCAGGATGAAGTATGCTGGTTGCTTTTAACCTCTTCTTGAACAGAAGCCATTCCATCGTCCTTGTTGCTCTTACGTATCTTTTTACATTTTTTCTATAGGCTTTCAGCTATCCATCCTGAGATGAGGTGACTGGAATCGCATACGCTGTTCTAGATGTGACTGCAGCAAGGATTTCCATGGGGCTTGCCTAGTAACAGAGAATTGGTGCTTTCTGGGACAGTTCATTTTTACATACTGATTCTGAGCTGGGAAATTATATCTGGTAGCATCTTTTCCTTTTCTCAGGGTGTGGGGACATAAGCACCATGGTTAGGATGGCCTAAGTCATTTTTCCTACATAAAACAGCATTTTGACTAATTAGTTTTCATAATTTTCTGCCAGGGGAGACAGAGGCACGTTAGGTGTCAGTCAAAAAGAGGCATATGAAAAATCCTAATGATGGGCAAAATAGGTATGGAAGAGAGAATGAGTACGTACAGTGCCATTTAATACAGAATGAAATTTCGCGTTCCTTAGTGGTGCTTCCCTAGCGTATCCTTCTGACATAAATTCTGTCATTTGACTTCCAAACAATTTATGGGTCACTGGCAAATTCTTACATACTATGCTTTAGAAA